GATTGCTTTTAGAAGTGAAAGTCTTTTCGGGAAATAAAAATCCGATCATCAAACGGGAGCTGAAAGGTTTTTCAGGTACAGATCTAGATAGTTCGGTATTCATTGGGTGGTGTTGGAACTCGTAATTTGATTAAATTAATTTTTACTATTTGAAGTATTTTAATTAAATTATATCGTGTGTACAGAAAAATTTGGACATTCAGGCATATTCGAAAAGATACGTAGGAGTGTAAGTATTTCTAAATTTCAATCAAGTTCGAATTTTGAAAGGTACATTCATTTCATTAAATTATGAATTTTGAAATTTGAACGTACATTGACATAATTTTTGATGAAAAACAAAACCTAAACTACGATCAATAAACCTAAGCAATTGAAACCTTATGAGGAGACGAAACCAGAAAGCAGAACCAATGGATTGAGAGTTATTTGGACTGATGAAATATGAAATTGAAAAGAAAAATTTTCAATTAAGAAAAAATTGAAAAAAATAAATAAATAAAATAAAAAGGTAAAAATAGAAAGAAAAAAATAATAATTGAGATTATGAAATGATCATTTAAATAAATTAAGAATTTTGGAATAAGAAGGTGGGAGTGAATAGGATAGGAACCCTAAATACCTTATTGTTTAGTCTGAATCGATGAGGGGAGTGTGTGTATGTGGCTGAAGTTCAGCAGGGCATGGTAAACCTACACATGGATAGAGTCTGATATATAATTCAGACGTGGATAGGTACTTATGAGTGTAGGTCACCTAGCAAACGTACCTGCTATGGCCATTGTAAGATTTCTATGTGTGTGTTATTCATTCAAGTACAACTCAGACCCCTCACACATCCTGCCACACGAGCCCCCTTCACTTCAAGAGAATCTATCCTATACGGAGGTACTAGTGAGCATTGTATACCGAAATAACAGAGTACTCCGCAACAGAGAAATTTCATTCGTTAAGGTCATATGACAGAATCACACACAGAAAGAGACCACATGAGAGGTAGAATTGGATTTCAGAGCCCAGTATCCCCAACTGTTTGACTAAGTGAGAGAGTCATAAATTTAAGGAACCAAATTTCTTCTTAAGAGGGGAGAGTTGTAATACCGGGGTTTAGAAATTGGTACGGGATCAATCTTGGCAAATTAAAAATAAATAAAAATATTATTGATAAATTAATTTAATTTAATTTTGTTAAATTATTGAAACAAAATAGGTTAGGGATATAATCGAAAATAATTTTAGAAAAAATGGGTAAAAATTTGAGTTCAACTAGTGGTTTTTAAAGAAAAATTAGAAACGGAGGGTCAAAGTGCAAAAAAAAAAAAATTGCCCATGTAAGACGGCCCAGTCAGCAGCCCCGATGGTCTTGCGCACGCTGCGTGGCAAGACACGCTGACATCGGCGCCACGCGAGAGGCCATGCGGGCGATCCACGTGCCCAACAATCGAATGGCCCAGGATTGATCCCGGGCACGTCGACGGCTCAGATTTGTTTCCTCTTTAGGTGCGATCGGAAAGATAAAATTAATCACGGTGAATAACCCAGATTGACGCGATATGAGTATAAATACTTCGCATCGCATGAGAACTCAAACTTTAGTCGCCAGCCCCCGCCAAAGAAGAAGAAATAGGTGCCAGATATGGAGGTCGATCGTCGACTGTCGCTGCACTGAAGCCACCATCAAACGCTAAAAAATGTTAAAATTTTTCTTACTCGCTCAAAATTCGATTATGAGCATCCTTGTGATCAAATCGAAGCAAGAGGGATGGTGGGTGAACTGGAAACCGCAGACAAAGCCCAACGGAGCCACCGCAGTTAAAACCCAAAAAGTCCATCCGATAAGCCCTTCCTGCTTCCTATTTCACGTGATTTTCTGATCATTGTGTTCACCATCCTTCTCTGTGCAGGTTAGCCGAAGAAATAATCCTAGTGGCGAATGAGAACTAGTGGAGTCGCCGCACTTGGAGGACCCCTCCCCCCCCCCCCCATTGGTAGGTTCGGTGTTTATGAATTTTCAGCCAACTGATGTCCTCTAACGTATTTTCTATAGGGATAAATGCAAATCCAGCCAAAACCGGTCATACTGAGGTGAACCGCTGCTGTGGGCGGCATCGTCCTCGTGCCGGAACCTCAAAATTGGCTGAAAAGAGTTTTAGACCCCGATTTTACCCGATTTTAGATTTTGAGGTATTTTTAAGTATGTGACAAGTGTTTTAGATTTTTACAGTAAAAATTCATAAAATTCGGTACCCGTTGGGAGGCATAGTAAACAACGCAACGTCTCAAAATACCAATCCGGGTAAAGATCCCTCATTATATTCTCCGTTACAGTAAATTGAGGCTCAATAATGTATAATTTCATATTTTTATAAAAAGACAACTCTAAAAATAATTACATATCACTAGTGGAGGTAGAACTGGTTAGTTCACGATTGTTCAAATTTCCTATTTGTTTTATTGTATTGCTCTATTTGCTTGTTATTAAATGGTGCATGTTCTTAAATTATATTTTCTATAGCCTTATCAATTTATCTGGTTTATTTGATTATATGCTATCAGCATGAATATAGTTTAATCGATATATAAATATAATATGAGATATTAGTATGAGTGGTTA